CTAAGGATCTTATAATAATTTAAATAAAAGAAAATAAAGGAAAATAAAGGAAAAAGCTTATAAAAGCGTGCTAATACCTTAAAATAGGTATAGTAATAAAAGAAATAAGGATATAGGGCTTATTATATTTTAGCCTATATAAGGCTTAAAAGGTTCTTTTAAGTCTATTCTAGTCTAATCTATCTAATTAGTTAATACCCTATACTTAGGAGTATAGTAGATACCTTAAGGGTTAATCTATATAGTAGTAAGTAATTAGATAGGGGTTATAGTACTAAAGAAAGTGTTCTTTTATATTATTATATATAGTAGTACTATTCTCTTACTTTATAATATAAATAGCTACTTTTTCTTACTTTAACTTCTTCTTCTCTTTATAACTCTCTATACTATTACTCTTAATCTTATTAAGAACCTACTTATACTATATCTTATATAAGTTCGCTATCTACTACTACTTATTATAGTTTACTATAAGAAGTACTTTATAATTATATTAATCTTATATAATACTATTTATATTTCCTCTCTTTATTTTCTTATAAATTATTATATTAGATAAGTCTCCTCTATCTTAGCTTTTCTATTCTAGTAGGATATAGTACTAGTCCCTATAGTTCTAGCTTAATCTAATTAGATCTATATAGGTTAGTCTAGACCTATTTTCTTATAAATCTATACTAACTTCCCTAATTTTAATAAGAGATAAGGTAACTAAGATTATTAAGTTAGCTACTAAGACTACTAAGGAGGAAGCTATAATAAAGGCTCTAGAGAAAGCTATTCTAGAGAGAGGCGTCTTAGAGGTCTTTAAAGAGGTTAGGGATAAGCTCCTAAAGGAGGCTAATAAGGAAGCTTTAGAGAAGGTCGCTATTATAATATCTATAAAAGGGGATAAGAAGGGTATAAAGGGTCCTACTAAGGCCCTTATTATTAATATTAGAGAAGGATCTTCTACTAGGGCTATTACTATAGCTAAAGTAAAAGCCTATAAGGTAGTCCTTACTAAGATTACTAAATTTATTATAGAGTTAGGACTAGCTAGGAAGGGCCTAAAAGGGAAGGGCTAGAAGATTACTAAGCCTATAGATATATCTAAGGATCTTTCTAAGTATTATAGAACTAAGGGCTTTGATTATAATCCTAATCTAAAAGTTATTAAGGTATTTAACCCCCCTAAGAATAAGTATACCTAGTATTTAGAGGATAGGGAAGTAAAATAAGCTATTTATAAGAGTAAGGTTTACGCTACTAAGGCTAAGTCTAATAGGAAGGATAAGGGTAAGAAGAAGGCTATTAAGGACTTATTTAGGTCTAAGAGTTCTATTTTTAATTAGAAACTAGGTAGGGTTTATAGTCTAGATATTAATAGAAATCTATTAATTAATCGCTTTAAATCTAAGTCTAAGAAGGCCCTTATTAAGTCTTACCCTTCTAATATAGATATAGACTAATATAAGAATAAGTAGAAGTCTATTATCTCTTCTATATAGTATTAAGTAGCCTATATCTAGTAGATTAGGATTATAGCTCCCTTTAGATCTATCTATAGCTACTATTCCCACTATTTAGGTCTATTTATATCTTATTAGGTTACTATTATTAATAGTTAGCTCCTATTTAATAGGGCTTACGCTAATTATATTTAGGAAGATAACTCTAGACGCTATTTCTTTTACGTAGGTCTATTACTATTCTATATCTTTCTTCCTTTACTTACTACTAATCCTAATAGTCCCTTCTTATTTTATAGATATACTAAAGGTTATAAGGGTAATATTAAGATAGGAGCCTTTATATATAGGACTCCTATTAGAAAATACCGCTATAAGGATATAAAGGGATCTAAGAGTACTAGTAAGCGCGCTTATATAACTACTCCTAAAGGAAAGGGGAAAGGTAGAGCTACTAAGTTAAAGGGTATTCCTTATAGACTCGCCTTTAATCTAATCTTATTCTACTCTATCTTAAAGGATCTAGATATACTTAAAGAGAAGTAGACTAAGATTTATAATCTTTATTAAGATCTATAGGGCGCCGCTATTTATATATTATAGGAGTTAGATCTTCTCTATAAAGTCCTTATTAAGAATAAAGAGAATACTAGTTTAGATAAGTCTAGTAAAGAGGGTACTAATAATAGTAAAGAAGATATCTTTAAGGGTATTAATATATAATTTCTTTTAGGTTAGTTTAGGTTAATATAGGTAGTTTTATATCCTTTTTATTCTTTATTAGTACTTTTTAATAATTTCTTATTTATTTATAGGCGTTCTATATACTTATATTTTATTTTACTTATATTTATATTAATTAAGAATAATTTTAGATATTTCTTAAGTTAGTTTTATTTCTTAAGGTTATACTTAAGATAGCTAGCTTCTATACTAGCCTAGAATAACTTTACTTTTTTATTTTTAATTATATTATAATCTATATAATCCCTATATATCTATATAGCCTATATCTAATATATATCTATTTATATATAATTATATAGGAGTTAGTAAGAACTTCTCCCTACGCCTTACTATATAGTCCCTATATATATCTATATAGCCTATACTTAACTATATATCTTTTATATATAGTAGTATAGGAGCTAATAGGCCCCTTTCCCTATACTTTAGTATAGTCCCTATACTAACTATATAGCCTATATCTTTTAGATATATCTATTCTAGTGGTTAGATTACTATTATAAATAGGCTATTAAACTAGACTTATTACTTCTACTTAGTATCCTATATAGGTTACTCCTCTTTTAGTTCTAATCTAGTTATCTCTAATATAACTAATTTATAATTATTTATATTAGAATCCTATTCTTCTAGCTTAGTATATTCTTCTACTAGCTAAGTAATTATCTTTTAACTCTTTCTTTTTATATTAGCTCTACTCTTAGCTAATATATAATTAGTAACTATATTTCCCTCCTCTATTAGACCTAAGTATATATCTATATATTATAACTCTTCCTACTCTTTCTAAGTATAAGTTAATAGGTCTATATATATAGGTAAGGAGACTTCCTTATTAAGGATCTACTATAACTCTTCTAGCTAGTCTAGATAAAGGCTAGCCTACTATAGGGCTAACTATATAGTTATAGAGGCCTATAACCCCTATAGGTTATCTATATTTACTTTAATTAGGTAAGATCTATTAATAAGGTTCCTTAGTACTTATCTACTAGATTCTATAAGAGTATATATATCTAATAGATATACCTATAGTACTTAATAGGGGCTAAATTATTTACTCTTAAATTTCTTTCTTAACTTATTCCTTATAAGTACCTAGCTTCTATTATAGAAGCTTATTTTTATAACTAGTGAATCCTAAATATAATTTATTTAGATTACTTAGTTTAGTAGTAATTTATTCGCCTTTATTCTTATATTATTAAGATTCTAAAGGATTACTTCTCTATCTATAATTAGCGTATTTAGGGAGTCTATATTACTAGGGATCTTAGGGTATATACTATAGACTAGATAGAAGGGGCTATATCCTATAACTAAGTATATATAAATATATATAGAGAATAGCGCTTATAGTAGAAAGAGGTCTTATACTTATATTAGCTTATCTATAAGATACTTTATAAGTATTTAACTAATAAGACTATTTAGATTCTCTACTTTCCTATTTATTTATAGATAGTAAGGTATTATTATATAGTAATAGGCCCCTAGTAGTTAAATATAGTAGTATATAGCTCTAGAAAGTAGATTTAGGCTATTATTAAATAGGAGTTCCTTTAGCGCGCTATAAGATATAAAGATATTATTATAAAGAAACTTCGCTAGGGTCTCTTTAATTATATTTAGAACCGCCTATATAATTAGCTATCTAGTTATATAATTAATTACTATTATTATCTAGTAGTTCCTATTTAGCGTAAATAGAAGTCGCCTAATAAGGTTAATTCCCTATTATTTAAATAGTTAGATACCCGCTATTATAAGATATTATACTACTTCGCGCTCTAGGCTCTCCTTAGATCCCTAAGAGACTTAGTAGTTTAGGTATAATTAGACCTTTTCTTCTAAATCTATATATATAGAGGGCTACTAAGCTTATAGTTTTACTACTCTACTTAATCCTAGGGATCCTAGATAGCTAAATTCCTTATATAAGCGTATAACTAGATCTATCTAGAAGGGGTCTACTATATATAGAGACTATATACTATCTTTATAGATAAATATAAGATATTTATTTACTTTTAATATCTCCTCCTCTAATAAAAGCCTATCTATATAGGACTCTACTATCTTATATATATAATAATTATTAGGTAGGCCTCCTATCCTTAAGAATAGCTTTATAGCTTCTAACTAGATATCCTTAAATACGCGATAAACTATATAGGCTATTATTAATATTACTAACTATATTAGGTAACTTTTAGCTATATTTATTAGGCCTATCTTAATAAAGTCTAGTTAATAGCTTATTATATTAGGTATAATCGCTTCTAAACCCTTCTTATACTTAACCACTAGGTTATATTCTTAGAACTCCTTAATCTAATAGGCTAAACGCTTACTATATATTATTATTATCTAGAGATATTATAGGCTTATATAATCTATAATAACTATTATCTTATAACTATTATTAATAAAGTAGTTCTATAAGTAGAGCGCGTGCTTAATAGTAAGAAGCTCTTTCTCCTATATTAGATAGTTTAATTCTACTAGTTCAGAAGTTAGACTTACCAAATATATACTATTTTAGGCCTTAATAGACGCTGTTTTTAGTAGCTATTTGGTAACACGTGATAGCGCTATCGCGACACGCCTAAATACTAGCTATGAACACGCACTAGCTACCCTACCCGTAAGCAGTGAGTCAGCGACCCTTTCCCCTTCCCCTGTAAGTTCTGTTTTAGTAACCATATTATTAGTGGAGGCCATTATTAGCTTAGCGTGAACTAAGAGTGCCAAAATGGGTTGACCGTCACAGTACCTAGTTAGTAGTCACTAATCATAATGGTGCCTACCCACGGTCGCCCCTTTTCTATTTCTATATTTTCCTCGCTCCCCTACCTCCGTCGATCGCGAGTGCTTTACCGCCGCTTACCTCTTACCTTAGCTAATCCTCTTCTCTTCATCGTGCTTCCTTCTTCTATCGTTTCTATTTACCTAGTCCTAAGCGCATTATCCGAGAACCAATCGCCAAGTAATCTTCGGGGGCTACTAGCCGCTTCGCCATTTTGCGGTCTTATAGTTTCAAATTTTCTCTACCCCTTTTAATAATAAAGCGTTCTCGACGCCGGCAGAACAAAAAAATAGAAAGCGAGTCTAGCGAGGATAGCATAGGTATCACTACTCCTAGCGACTCACTACAGGATAATACTGCGTTTAAGACAGATCTCACGGACTTAGAGGACGTGCCTAACGCACGAAAACGTCTCTAATTAGATAAGGACCCTACTCTAGAGCTAGATATCTCTCGTGGTGTTAGAAGATTATACAATAACCCGCTGGACGAAGGCGGAGTTGATCTTTCGGAGATCCCTAGGGATTTCGATAAAGCGCTAGGTACCATAATATAACGAGAGAGGATTAAGAGCCAATAGAAAAGGTAAGTAAACCACTAAAATCCATCTCGTTCTATGCCCTCCTAAAGTAAGCATAGGTACTATACTAGCTAAGTGCGGAGTAGGCCGACTAAGCAAAAATGGCGTGAGGTCGAGGAAGCGCTACGCTAGGCATCTAACAATAATATATACCGGTTTCTACGCTAGTGTCTACTTCTTAAGCAAGGCGAAGACAGTCGATATATAAAAGGCATCCAAAAAGCTAGCATACTCGAGACGGACTAGAAAAACCTTCGTATTTACTATCAGAAGCTTATAAATATTATAATCGACGATAAAGATAGCTTAGAAATACGAAAGGTAGGCCTACCTCGAATATTAGTTCAACTTAATTATATTAACTTACTATTATTTATAGGGTATGAAATGGCTAGTTAAAGAGTTTAATTTAGACACGCAGCCCAGAAAAAAGACGCTAGTTTATATTAAGGATATTGGCCCGTTTAATAAAACAATTTTAGCGACGTAGGAGAAAAAGTTCTATCTAGGCTTCTAACGCATCTAAGTGTGTTTATTTAACTCCCTCGGCATCTTTATAGTACACCAGAAAAGCGCTATATTAAGTCTATAGTTCAAAGACTTACAGATCTCCCTCTAGAAGGATCCTCGTGGGGGCCTATCTATCCCTATAATCGAGCTTACTCCTAAGGGGACCAAAAAATTCCTTAGTCTAACCAAACTATACGGCGAGCCCAATTCCTATCTTCCTCCCCTAATTTCCAATAATTTCGGGACACGTAGTATCTTCTAGGATTCCACCTATCTCTATAATATTCTAACCAGGGTCGTGAAGCTAATCAATAACAGAACCACTTTTGCACTTCCAGAGATCATTTACAGGCCATCTCTAGTGATATGCCCGCACACGTTACTTTTCGGCATCTTATTTCACGCGCGAGTATTCCGAAATCAAGGGCTGACTTCGAAGACATAGCTACGGAAGCTTTTCATCAGCAAAAGCTATAAGTAGCTTTTAATACCTTTAGACCCCAAAAAGTCCGACTAGTATATCTTTTGCAAAACGGAATTGGTTAAGGGCGTTCCAACAATTCGACGGACAACATAGATATCTAAGTCTATGATCTCCAATTTGCTAGTTATATTTAGCGAGATTCGTGGGTAGAAAGGGGCGTTTCACGCCCATTAATTCCAGTATAGAAGTGGCAAAGTGCTTAACGAGAGTGGTAGGTTAATCTATTAATATTTCGAAACTAATAATAGTAGTTTGATGACGTCTTTCATAGGGTAGATAAGTAAGGAGCAACACCAATTAATTATAAAGTATGCCAGCCCCCGCACCTTTCTCAACCACTATTATCCTCTATAAATCGACACCAATATGATCCAGGTTATCTATAGCCTTAATCTAGATATAGAACTAATACGAGCCGTCACGCGGCAAAGCCGTTAGCGAGACACGAGACACCCACGCTACCTAACTAATCAACAAAGGGCAGAAGTTGAAAACCACCCCGAGCTGGAAAAAGCCCGGTGCAACCTAAGTAAGATCCACGCGCAATATAAGGAGACTTAGCAACCTAGCCTGCTTCCTCGACTAGAGCATCGGGAGAAGGAGGTTAAAAACACGCGAAAAAGATTGCAACGGAGCTTACGGCATCAAATCCGAGAGAAATTCGATAAAGATTAAGCCTTTTTAGACATCGAGGCGTAGCTTTCGGGCGCTACGGCTAAGAAAGGGAGTGAAGACGGCTCGTCCTTAGAGGACACAATGCACCCACTCTAGTTACATCTTATATAGAGTCTTCTCTCTTACCCAATCTCTAGTTCGTTAGAGGATAAGTGGCGTCGCCAGGATATAGGTACCGCATCTATCGTGTAGTACTATGATATCCTCGAAGGTAGCCCATTAAGGGGCCGGCCTAAGCGGAAAAATCTTAAGTCTGCCCCACAGGCTAAACTACTACCTTAGCCAAAGGAGTAGTAGACCTAAAGTAATATTAACCCCTATAAGGTAACTGTCTCTATACGTGATAAGCCGTCACGTGCTAGCAGGGAATACCTTAAAACCACCAAGAAGCTAGAGGCATACTTCTAATGCTTTGCGAATGAAGGGCTTCTAGACACCGTTCGCTTTAAGATATTTCATAACCCCGGATATGTTACTCGCTATTTCGATGCTATTCACCTAAAAGAAGAGCCACTTAACTATAACTAGTGTGAAGTAGTATTATTGCATTAAATGAGTTTCTAGCGTTATGCTTCTAACGTTCATCGTGTACGGAGTCGCCGGCGTTATCCAAACCCGACGAAAGAGCTTTAAGGAAAGGATCAAGCGGGCTTAGATCAATTAGAAGACAGCTTAATTTAACGGGATTCTTTAGGATATACGTGGACATATAATCCATAGAGTTCTTTAGACTAGTCTTATACAAGAAAGATTACACGTCCATTCCTCGTAACTTATTACTCACCAGCCATCATGCTTACGTCCTTGCCTTATAACCTATATCGAATTACTAAATGCAAAGGCGTGTCGCCATTGTCGTCTTAGGCATTAGGACTAGCGTATCTCCTCGTTAGTGCTATAAAACTAGGGAACTAGTGCTGTGATGCATATGAACTATATTAATAGAAGTAAGTTATGCCAGAGCTAACTCCGCCACTATTACTTCTTAGGTATATAAAGGCCGTCCTCCCCCTAGCTAGTTATATACTCTAATATTCCTCTTTCTCTTTCCTAAGCCTACTTTCCTCCCCTAAGTATAGCGACTAAGATTACGATGATAAGCCCTTCCGATACTATTGTTATTGCCGACGACGAGGAAGTTTTAATGCTTAAGCCAGACAGCTCACGACCTCAGAGGGCTCCTCGCCGTGATTATAGTTACCGGGAATTTAAGAGCATATTTATTGAATTAATTAATGCGCAGGCAGATATGACACTATCGCGCAAACACCGAAGAACCAAAGCGAAGGAGCCATCTACTTTGGTACCCCTTCCTTACAATACCTACCCTTTTCATTCCTAACTAATAATAGACTAGGATGACGTTTTTAAGGGGCTCCAAAAGGCAGTCGACCGTGAAGTCTAGCTATTATAAGAGAAGAATCGAATTCTTCTAGATGAACTTCGCCTAGAGAAGGAGGACCACCAAAAGACCTAAGAGGAGCTTTCCCAGCAAAAGGAAAGGCGGATTCTAGACTACGGAATTTGCTATATGTAGCCAGATCTCTAGGTGACTCTTATTTATAGGCATATGGTTTGCAAGCCGTGCGTAGAAGATCTTAGAGCAGTTATCTACGCAGAAAGTCATGGAACACAGATAAGGTGTCCTATCTATCGGGCACCATTCACGGGTTATGTTGAATGCTACCCCTTTACAGGGTGAAACATATATATATTTCTATAGGTCCAATTCAATAGCTCGAATTTGAGTATGAACGCCGTTCCTCTGCCTTACTTTTGCCTATATACTTTCAGCGGAATAATTGAATACTATTAGGAGAAGGAGCTTTAGGTAGCATTTCTATCTCCCTCCTCAAACCGCACAGTAAAAGGATGTATGAAAAGAAAAGTTTCCGGAAAGGACTCATCTCTAGATGTTTAATAACCTAGGGTATATTATACGCCACTTTAATGCTACTCGTTATTACGGCATATCTATAAGAAGGCCCGTAGAAGGGCCCAAGAATAGGCGAAAAAGGGCCTAAGAACACTTCTATATACTCTAGTTCTAGTATACAACGGAATTTCTGGAGGAATATTAGCCTAATATGCTCGGGTAGGTAATTAGTTAAGCTACATAATAGAATTAGGATCACGGGAGAACACCCCTAGAGTCCTCTAGTGATTATATTATCATTAATATCAATTCATATAGCATACTTATATACTACTCGTGTTATCATTCTTATCCAATTCCACCTAGGACACTAGTCCTAACACTCACCTTAAATATGATTTAATCAAATGTAACTAGCGGTAGCCTTAATACATCGAATAAATCCTAGCGCTATATACTATATATAGTTAGTAGCGAAATCAGCTTCCTCCCTATAGACTACCTTTCCTTTCTCGGGACCCGCTACTAAGGCCTTAGCGCAGGCCCTATATTAACTGGAGTTACTGGACCGCGTTTAATTAAGAAACGTTGTAAAATGTGTTGTGTATGGTACTATATCCTCTTCCGTAATATTATAACCGGTACTTGAAATGCTGGATGGTAAATCTAGATAGCTATAGTACTCGATAAGGAGCACTTTACGGCATCTATAGTAAATGCATAAAAGCCTTTATAGTGGGTCCTAAGAAAAGAAAAGCGGTTTAAAGGGAGGAAGCTAATATCGCTAGTGATTGTAGTTTTAATAGGTAAGTATGCTATTTATTTTATCTTTTTGATTATATAGATAAACAGCTAGTGGTTATAGTTAATGATGGATAAACTATAATATAGTAAATAATAGTATTTAGATCATTTTATGTAGTGGTAGTAGATAGAGTAGTAGTAGATAGAGTGGTAGTAGATAGAGTGGTAGTAGATAGAGTGGTAGTAGATGGAGTGGCAGTAGATAGAGTAGCAGTAGATAGAGTGGCAGTAGATAGAGTGGTAGTAGATAGAATAGTAGATCGTGACTTAGTAGTAATAGAGATTAAGGTAGTTGACGATGCGGAGGATAAGAGCGATTTTACTGTGAATACTTCCGATTTAAATGCAGTGCACTAGCTACCAGCCTTAAGTCCCTTATTAAGTACGTAGTTTAAGCTATTTCTATTCTTATTAAAAAAAGTAACTAGACTAGTGTGGTTTACCTATATCTAAGCAGCTGGTGAACCATCTTCTATGCCGCATACGTTAACACTAAGTGTAGAATCTTTCTTACTAAGGAACTCTAGCAAGCTATTAGCAATATTATATCATATTTAAGATAGTCAATAAGTACTTAAATAATCATCTCCATCTAGTATCGCAAAAGATGCAGAGTAACCTATATAACCATAGTTACCATTAGACCATATTAAACACTAGCGATCATAATCTATAACCTTAAGTACACCAGCCCTAGAAGTGCATACGCGAATAATGACCAGAATAGCAACTAATATAGGATGCATATTTATAATACTATATCCAATAAAAGAGTCTTAAACACAATAGGCTAGAGATTAATAATTAAATATATTCGAGAAGCCAAAAGACTCTAGAGAAAGGAAAAAATAATCCTAGAATATAGAGAAATATATAGTTTCTACGAAACTTTAGCTACTAGATATACTAATAGATATAATAGGAGCAATAGCAATAAATCCCTTTTTTGCATAATGCGCATACCTCAACTATTAACTTACTATTATATTGCTGTCTCGTGATATTATCACTAGCGAGATTAGCTTCTTACCTATAGATTATCTCTCTTTTTAGAGACCTACTACCAAGGCCTTAGCGTAGGCCCTATTTTAATCGGGCCACACTAAGTTAAGGGGAAGGTCGCCGTAGAATACTCCTTATCGAGTACTATAGCCATCCACGTTTACCGCCCAACATCTAAAGCACTAGATATAATATTACGGAGGAGGATACAATACTATACGCAACACATTTTATAAAGTTTCTCAATTTAACGCGGTCTAGTTAATATAGGGCCTGCGCTAAGGCTATAGTAGTGGGTCCTAAGAAAGGGAAGGTAGTTTGTAGGGAGGAAGCTGATGTCGCTACTAACTATATATATTATATACGGAGTCACTAGCGTTAGGTCGATTATAAGTCATTCGTGCCCTCTAGGCGATAGACTCATTAGCTAATAAGTAAAGAGTTAAATCTGAGTTAATATATGAGATAAATATCTACCTCCTAAATCAAATCTTTCGATGCTCCTACGGTCCTACCTATCAACTAGCGCATTTAGACTATCGGGAAATCCGAAAGGACAAGGTTCCTTCTATTAGGAGAGGCCACTACGGAGGAGTTTAAGTAAAACTAGAGATAGCATTCACTCGCCGATGTATAAAAGATCATCTTTGGTCACCCTGAATCCTGACTAGCTTTCGCCTAGATCTATACCTGCATATAACATGCTATTAGCTTATCTATAGCGACCTTATATAACTTTACTAAGCCTAGATACTAAGTAGTAAGCCGATGTCGCTCTTATATTATATATAATAATAAAGGCAGGATGACCTTAGGTTCTAAGTTTATGCACTACCGTCTTATACTACAATAACTAATATTGAAGTCCAATTTCGGTCTAATCTTATATCCTCCGAACTTTATAAAAGAAGACAAGCTCCCTCTCCGGCCTATTCTCATTTTTCTTTAACTAAGCCTCCACTCCATTTTCCACCCTAACCTAAAATAACCACGTAGACTTACTATAAGTCTATAGTACCTAGAGCCCACTAATAGTATCATTATCTATAGATAGAGTTAGCCAAGAAGCTATATTAGGGGCCTAGTAAGACGTCGAAAGAGAGAATATGGTGCGGTCACTTCCTAGTATGATTTTTGTTCCCCTTTTACGCCATCTAATTTGTATCTAGCATATCTAAAGTATATAGTCTAGTTCGCCTTAAATTAAGTTAGTGTAAGCCACGCGCCTCCCTAATGCCATAACTAGTATAGGTATTCGTAAATAGAATGCCAAAGAAGCTCGTAGTAATTTTATACTCCCCTTCGTCTCTCTGCTTAAGGTAATATAAAGTGGCCTTAATAGAACTTTATATTCGGCGAGATAGTAAATAACGAGAAAATTAACCAAGCATTACCATAAATTAGTATCATTAATAGGAAATCACACGTCGCTAACTAATACACTTCCTTTTAGAACCTACTCCTTCCTTTAAGTGAACGATAATTTTGGCCTCAATACCAACCTACAATCCCCGGCAAAAGTCTATAGAATTTTCTAACTCACTTTCGGGTTACCCCTAATAACCACTATTTTCTTTCTTATCTCCCTTAAAAAACCATAGTCTTAAAGGGCATTAAAATTATTAGAAAACGTCGGAAAGGATAAAAGTTATTTAATTCTACTTACGCTACTATATTATACGTAAGGATAGTATTAAAAGCTAAGCTCTAAAAAATTGCCTCAGGTTTTATGTATATACCTATAATAATCACTAATACTATAAAATGGTTTAACGAGCTAGGCACTATAGAATTATAGAAATAAAGTAGTCGCCCCCGAAAGTTAAATAATTAAGCTTACTACCTTATCTTTTTTTAAGTATACTAAGACGTTTTTAAGCGGTAAGGGAGGCTAAGAGATATTATATAAAATATTAAGCGAATTTTGTGTGGAAACGATATATTAATAAGCATATATAATTATATATATAGACTAAAGTATAGTGGTATATATTGTAACGTGGACATATATATTTAATATGGGTGGGGTTGAATTTAAAAATTCCACAGACTTTTTCGTGGGTGTTGTATCTTATTATTGATAGTATATAATATAGCAATTATACTAATCGGTCTATCTATGGGCACCCATAGACGGGTTAGTGCTATCCTTAATCAAGGTTTAATCATAGAATATATAGAGAACTAATAAAACCCTTAATTAATCCTTTTTTAAAGGAGAAGGTCAGTAACTAGTGAAGAGGGGAACGCTCGAAGGCAGCACACTCGAGGTATATGGGTCGATTTAGCTTAACAACACAACAACAACAGCAAACGCAGGTTATATAAGAGATCCACGGTCAGCACTATTATGTGCACGTAGAGAGAGGTATAGAAGCGTGTTATTCAGTACTATCTCTAAGCTACTAGATATACTATCCATGCCTAGTATACCAGTCTACTGAAAACCAGGCGTCATAGTACAGGTCGGAAAAACCTCTTCCGGTCTATCCTATAATATTAGGTAATATTAAGTAACAGGGTGTCCCCCACTACACTAGGTAAAAAGATAGGAAGTGCGAACCTTATTAACCTAATTTGGGTTGCATTTACACGATATTTCGAACATCTACCAAGAGGCTAATTTATTGTCAAATCCTTAGTATCCCAGGAAACAGGGCGTAAAAAATAAAGGTGGATCACTAGTCCTAATAGTCACTATAAGGCCGTGCATTCTTCGCTAT